TGACGGCACGTGGATCGGGAATAGCATCGGTGTGCTTAATAACCGACACAGACTCGCCGGTGAGGATGGACTGATCGATTCTGATGGTGGTGGAGTAAATGTGGGTTAGGCGAATATCGGCGGGGATCTTGTCACCGACAGACACCTCGACCAAGTCTCCGGGCACAATCTCTTTCGCCCTGACCTTCTGGATGCCAGATTTGTCTTGGCGGACCACCTTGCCCATCTCTGGCTCATACTCCTTGAGAGCCTCAATGGCGGACTCGGCGTTCCTTTCCTGCCATACACCAACCACCGCATTAGCTATCAGAATAAGTAAAATAACTAAGGGCTCTACAAATGCAGTGAACGTCTCTTCATGTTCTTCAAATAGCGCCAATACCTGTGATTAAATAAAACGATAGCAAAGTTTAGTTGCGTATCGGAATCGTGTGTGTAGAGCAGAGATTACACAACTCCGAAATTTCGTAGACTTACAAATGAAATGATGGCTGCCAAAAGCAAAATCTTCACTAGAAGATCGTCGAACTGCTCTAAAACTAATTGCCAAATACTCTTTCCTGCGAAATATAAAACAATTGGTAAACGTGAATGACATTAGTGGACGTTGTTCGTTATCATGATCGTGAGCGCGCATTGCACTCGATCTGATTTGATATTGACTGCGCACCTTCCTCAGTTGGCAATTCTGAAATGATAAAGAAGTGAATGCAGGTGAGTCAGTGTTGCTTATGTTATTTATATTGAACAATTGTAATTACCGTTCGGTCCATATTTCGCCTGGTTAGCCTTGATCTGCTCAAGGGTAAGACCGCGCTCTCCGTCTGTACCGAAGAAGTTCAGAGACTGTTCGACGGTTTTTGAGTGACCGTCTTCCATTTTGATTTGTTATCCTCTTCGTTCAGTAGCCTTCACTTCATGTGATTGGATGATGTGTAGAGATTGAAAATGAAAACAAAGCCAAGTATTTTATTAGTTTCTGATAATAGGTTGTGTGCTGTGTGCTGACAGGAATAGTAATTGGGAATAAATATCAATATGCATATGCCTACGCAAGTGTGTTCAAATGCAGTTAAAACTGCCTCATTAGATTTCGTATGTATGTATGTATGTGCATGCGAGCATGTACAAACGTATGTACCTAAATACGTACATACATACATACATACCTTCTCATCTGTGCAAATAATGTACGCTTGAACATACATACGTCCATACGTATGTATGTGTGTACATCTCTACTGTAGAGTAAATATGCAAATTCATAGACATTCGGGTAAAGTAAATGAAAAGGGGGAGGCTGGGAGGCTTGGACCAGTTGCGACGTTTAGTGGTCGAGCAACTATTACAATTTAATTAAGTACTAATTAAGAGTTTGTAAGAACATTGGCATTACCGCGCTCGTGCCAGACTAGTCTAATCTCCACTTATGAGATTCACACACGTGTCACTTTGCACAACAGAGTTTGCCAAGATCGCCAACACGGAGATGGATTCCTTTATGTGTGTATTGATTCAGTACAATTCATATACAACAACGCACTGCGTGTTCAGTACTGTATTTTCACAACTTTTTATATATTATACGCCATGGCGCTTTTTTTTCTAAAATGCTTCTGATAATATTGCACTATCGGCGTTCGTGTTTCACCTGGCGACTATGACACGACATTTATTGGCAGCAGGGTTGCATGTAACCAGTCACTTATGACCATATCGATAGTGCGGCAATCGCATTATTATATTTGCATGTACCTGATTATTCAGTTTTTTATTAATATACTAAAAAGAATTTGATGGAATCAAATTAATTTGTTGGTTCTCCGACAAAAGAAGCCAGAACGAGCCGAGTCGAGCCACTACTGTCAACTGAAACACACAGCAGGGAGCTTGCACCTCTACCCAACACTGTTCTTTCGCGCTCTTTCACATTCAAAAAACTCAGGTCTCAGCAGAGCAGAGACATTTCATTTCATTTCACTTTTGAACAATTAAAACGAGACATGACATCCAGAACAGGACCGTGGACTAGATATACATCAGGCGATGCGGAAAATTTTGAACCGGATCCAACAATTTGAATATTGTTTGGATTATGTGAGAATATTTACGAGGCACATTCGAATTCTAATTATATACATGTCACATGTGTCAAACTCTAACGGTATTTCGAAAGTTACAGTTTTGACGTTAATTTAGAATTAATAATTCATATTTGAGAGATTTCTAATTTGCACAAATGTGCCTGGCTAAAACGTATTTCTATATGTGTTTCTAAATTATATACACATAAGTATGTATTGGTCTATATATTCCGTTTATACATACATGAAATGTGCATGTATGGGTCTATACGTGTGCATTATGGAGCAAAAAAAATTGCCTCTGGCCGAGATGGGCTAAAAATAGCAACCTAGCACCCGAAAAATACAAGCTTAATTTTGAACACACATTATGTACATATATAAATATGTACTGGGAACACATAAATAAGTATGAACATACAGACATAAGCTCATATGTACTGGGAAACGATCGTAGGGTGGACTTTTATGTACATAAATATGTGTGTCTTTAGGCATAAGTATATTTTTACGGCTCAAGATATTTCTGAGCATTCTGATGGATGTCGACAAGTGTAGAGGGGAGCTGCTCTCCTCGACATGAAATCTCTGATTCCGATTGACAGTTGGACAGCACAGGTCTGCTAATGAATTGTATAATTATCTATGTACAAATCTATTATCCTTTCGGCAGAGAATATCTTACGTGGGTCCACAGCCTTGTCGGTGCCTATTATTTAATCATTTCAGTAAGAGAACGATATGAAATGAGGTGAAATGACATGTCTGTATGTACATGATGGTGTAAAAACGTAGCATGCATACAGTGTTCCGTTCCTATTCGCCATAGGGGCTGACACAACTGTTGCATAATCAGTTTTTCTATCACAGATCTGCCCCATGCTATGCTATGTAGGACGACACAAGTGAAAACTTTAGAGCAGTGTATCTATTTGGGCATTGGTGACTGTGCATTGGTATTGGTGACATTCAAATATTTCAATATGACTACGGAGGTCGAGGTTGTTCACGATTTGTCCTCTTTACGGACTATTCCCAATGGATGGATAGCTGTAGGCGAGGGGTTTCAACTAGTAAACTTATGACTAAAACTGTGGAGACACTTTCAAACACCAACTCTCAAGTGTAAGTACGGTACGGTACGGGTGTATGTAGGTAATTTATATAAATTGTTGAATTTTCCATGATTTTAGGCGCGCGGTTGAACATTTTTACATTTTGGGAGTTTTTTTTTCTTTTTGGATTTGGTTTTTCTTTTTATATAGAGAGTTTGGAGTAAAATCACTAATTATTTTGTTTGGAATTGTTGCAAAAAATCAACAAAACTTACAATTATTATTCTTAGTAAAAATTCCGTTATTATATAATAAATTTATTTGAGTCGGAAGACCAAGAGCTAACACAAAGATCGCGCTATTATAACGATCAACGGCAACTGAACGCAAGGAGAACGCTGCTTGATGAGAGTGTCTATTTGAATTACAAAATTCATATATTTTGGCAAAATTCCCAAAACTACATACACTCTCTATTTTGGCCCGGGAAAATACTTTTAGCACGCACAAACTGTTGAGCACTTACCACCTATCCGATTGTTGGCGGTTGTCGGTTCTCGGTGCTCGTGTTTGCTTCTGCTCCGCTCGGATCGATCTCGCCGAAGGAAAATACTAATATATTATCTAGATATACGTTGGTAGACACAGATACATATAGGCACATCCATATGGCTGGGCTATGTCTGTATGTGGATACCACAGCACCAACGCGTGCTCTGCTCTGCTCAAAGACACGAAGCGAAGCAGCCGTGTGGGGCATACATGATCATCAGTATTTGTGAGTGCACGTGTGTCTGTTTAATATTTAGAAATCATTATTTATAAACTCTGCCCCGTGAATCGTAGTATGCTAGTCCAAAGCGTTTGACACACACAGAATTTCGCTGGATAGCCAGCGACTCTGGATTTATCAATGGAATTGTTTCCGAACAGTCAAGTTCACTGTTAACTTTATCAAGAAACCCCATTGGCTATAAACAATACAATCGAATTACTCGTAGCACATCCAAATATGGATGTTTATCATACATGAACATTATTTTCCGGTACTGTAGATAGCACACCCAGAGTCGGAACAATTATAAGAGTATGCGCGTTCCGGATATTTCTGCTTTTTCCTTTTAGTTTCGCCAGAGACTGGCAGCCGTCGTTTAGCCGCTTAAAAATAGTCTTGTAATGCCTTTATGGCCTCTCAAAAAGTTGGCAAGAGCACAATCGCTCTCCGCACATGTTCCTTTCTGTATTATATCCGCCTTCTGCAGCACCTATAACAAAATTTCAGAGAGCACCCATAAATATGCATTTGTCTTCGATTTTACCTTTTCATATATGTGCATATACATATATGGACACTATTTTGTAAACTACCTGAATAACTTACGAGTTATAAATATGCACAGGTCAGGGTCACGGCTCAACTCTGGCACTAATCCTAATTTCTCTTGTACTTATTGGATAATATTTTGCATGATTTATATAAACGATACAAGTATAATCATTGTTACATTATATATATGTTACCAACTCTTACAACTTCATATCGCAAATGATCCTTAAAGCGCTTTGTCTTAGAAAAGGTATTATCTAATTTCCGACTACAATATAATTATTTTACAATGTTTGCACAAGTTGGAATTTTCTATACAATTATTGTTTGTATTCTTTGACTCGAGAGATTACAATTGTGTTATGTAACAATTGCACTCGCAGTTTGCTTTGAAAATAAACGAGCAAAGGTGTGTGTAGCTCTTGTAGACAAATTTTCTAATATAAGTCTTGGCGAAATGTCCTTCCCCGCGAACATGCATTTCCGCCTATAAATATATTCAATGCAGTGTGCCATTATTCCAATAGATAATAATTTTCGTTTTGCAATGACACATATATTTTCATTAAACGAATATGTACAAACGTTCATTGTGTAAGGTCTGAGCTATTTATGTCTTGGTCGAAAAGAGGTAGGAATCTTTTTTCCCCGTGGTCAACTTAAGCGCATTCTCGCTTCCAACGACGTTGCTCAGACTCAGAAGATCATATTTTGTATACAATATACTGACACTCATTTCATCTCCAAAGCCATCTCGCGGATTCTGGTTGGATTCGAGCATCAGATTGATGAGCTCCGAGTAAAAGTGCGGAAAGTTGGGCGGCTGGTACATAATTAAATTTCGTATACCCTTGATTCGGGTGCGTCGAAAGAAGTGAGCCCTTTCCGAATAGAGCAGCACAGACGCTCCGCTGTGGAAGAATATGTCTCTCGCCCGGGAAATCTTTTCCTTCTTTGTGTATTCGCTGATCTGCACAAAGCTAATCATATCTGTTTTGAACTGATTGCGTATGCGCACAAAGTCGAAATAGCTGGGCACGTACAGCATACAATGCGAGAAGCCGGGCTTACTAAACTGGGGCATTATGTGCTTGACAAAATGCTGAAAGCGATCATCAAATGAGGACTCTACATTGGTGCAGTTGATTCGGCGGAAAACTTGCTGAATTGGCGTGATGACATTCCGGATATCGCCATGTTCCACTAGATTTGTGATCCGCACTTTGCCTTGGTAGTTTTGACACTTGCTGTTGAGCACTGCCCGAAATTCAGGAAGTTCGTGGGATGAGAAAAATAAGGTTTGGCGGTAGAAGCTGGATGCTCCGCTCAGACACCAAGTCCGAACACGTTGACAATTGGTGTCCGGCAGCTTCTGTGGCTGCAGATGAAGGTGGTCCAGCGAGTGCAGAAGATTCTCCCAGTTCTGAGCGAGGAAAAGCTCCGCTTGGTCGATTATGAGCAGCTCAATTGAGTTTAGGAAGTCAAAGTCACTCTCCTTGTCCGTGACAAGCATTCGCAGTCCCAGCGGAGAGGCGATCAATATGTCTGAGGCGTTCATATCGGAAAACAGAGAAACGGCTTTCTTTGTGAAGCGCAATCCAATTTTAAAGTTGTCATCTGTGTTTCCACTGAATGTTTGCTCATAGTCGAATGGTTTTGGGTTCGTTTTTGGGAAGTATATCGTATTTCCCGAGTAGTCTTGAACGAACCGCTCATAATTTGCCATTGAATTTTTCCGGGCTTGATCTGCAAAGTAAATAATCGCTGAGTTTTTGCCTTTGTCTGTAGCTCGCATTTCTTACCATCTTGAATGCCAAATAGTAAGTCTCCGATAAGCTTAACAATCTTTAAGGCTGACTCTCTGAAGGGCACAATAAAAAGCACCTTCATCCGCTTGAGTCCCTGGTCTCTAAATGTCTCCGGTATTGAAATTTCATTCGGTGACAACTTTAGTGACTTGGCGAGTGCCGCCACTTTCTCATTATTACGCAGAATCAGGGATCTTACCTTCAGCATGTGGTTCAGCGCATGCAGGCAGTACATGTACCGAATCTCTTCGGCATTGCTGTGTGTTCGGTGGGGATAGTACAGGTCCTGATAGTTGTTCGCAATATGAAAGAGCTCAGATTGTAGCGCAGAAAGGGGATATGCAACCTTGGCGCATATGGACATTTTGACCTCCAACTTTTGGAGATCAGAGGAGTTGGAAATGTCACTCGGTGGACTGCAGTCGGGATTTTGGGCATTCGCATCTAGTTGCGGAATCTCAAACTTTAGATTTCCCACTGCCGGCCAACTGCTCTTGATCAATGTGGCATCCTTACGCGAGATCAAATCGTTGATATTTTCTGCTGATAGATCGAAATCGAATCGCTTCGAAAACGAATTGTACGAATCAAAGTCATCATGCGTTTGGACAGGAGTCTTGCTCTCTTTCTCAACTGTTTTCACTGGTTCAGGCAACGAGGTACCGTCGCTTTCGTTTGTGCTGAGAAGGCGGCCTGCAAAAACGATTTGTAGTCAAGGACAATGCTTGGGAAATATAATTATTGACATACTCGTTTGTACGCTGTTGAATCCATTCACCAGCTGCTCATAGAATCCAGTTTGGTCGACATCGTTTTGCAATTCGGGCAGCAGATCTGCTACAGGCTCAAAGGAGTTGTTCCCTGTCAAGGCCGGGAGTCGTTCCTTTCTGTGCGACTCCTCCATTTGCTTGCTTCTCTGTATGTAGCTGTAGTTTTTCGAAAATTTCTCATTCTTGCGAACGGGGGCCACCTGCCGGTATGGCTTAGCCTTATGTTTCGTGTGTTTCTGCTTCATGTTAACCTCCTGGCAAACAATTTAAAACAGTTCAATTAAAAACGTGCACGTGCGATTCTAATAAACATAAACATATGTTTTCAGCGTTGTATCGATAGCACATACTGATGGTAGAAAAGTGGGCACGCTGTTGTGAATGGAACTAGATTAAGTATGAAAATGAAATGCTGATGCTCTTTTAACCTTATTTTGCAATCAATCGAAAAAAAATTAGTCATGAAAACCATCCAATCTTGTGGAGAATTGGTGGATAATCCGAGTAAAAATACAGATTTAAAGCTGAGAGTCTTAACTAGCTGGTAATATTAAACAGAAGATCGAAGTCGAGGAAAATGATTTTATATTTACGGTATATTTGAAAAATGAGATGGTATATTTCGGTTCATTTTTGAGGGTCTGACGGTATATTTGACCGATAATTCCACGGTCACACTGCAGAAGAAATCGGCGGAATTTGTGGATTTTTTTTTATTTTAATTTCTGGAATGGGAAGCGATCGCACGTCGAAAAAGCTCAAGATGTCGGTTCTACAACAACTTAAACAAGTCACTACAATTGTGGCTGACACCGGCGACTTTGAAGGTACATACTTAAATACATTCAAATACAAGATAAGTTTTGTTTTATCGGAATTTCGGTGAGGTTAAAAGTTCATTTAAAGCTGAGTTTGATCACACGTACGCACACATACGATAATAACTAGACCATGCTTTCTGAAGTATCTAAATGTTATGCTGTACAGGAGTTGGTATTCATACAAATGTATGTACAAACATACATATATAAATGCATGAGGAACATCTTTCTATTCGAGTTGCTGTTATCTTCTTTTGTGAAGATCAAATAAAAGTGAAAAGCAGAATTCAACCTGACTTTAGTTTGACCTTATGTGCATACGTGTGTTTGAAATGTGACCGCTGTGGTGATAAGGTTCAAATATACAAATGCTACATTCATATGTGAGTGGCAATGAATTGTCAAGGATTTGTTTGTGTAAAATGAAAGTCAGCTGGCCTGTGGTTTTTGTTAAAACTGGTTTAAAGGCCGTTCTAACAACAGTCTGAAAAGTAAAAAAGATACCTGCCTTCTATGCAAATTTGTTTGCAATAAACTCCACTGCTAAGCAAACTTGACATTTTGTTTTATTTTTAGCCATCAACATCTACAAGCCAACTGATGCCACGACAAATCCTTCGCTTATTCTGTCGGCGTCGTCCATGCAGCGGTACCAGCCCTTGGTGCAGAAGGCCGTGGATTATGCAAAGAGCCAAAAAGGGTATAAACTAATAGAATATTGCTTACGCTCGCAAATGACTAAGCTCTGCAATTTATTTTCAGGTCTTTGAATGATCAAGTTGCCGAGGCAATGGACTATTTGTGCGTGCTGTTCGGAACAGAGATTCTGAAAGTTGTACCTGGACGTGTGTCCACCGAAATCGATGCCCGACTATCATTCGACACAAAGAACAGTGTGGCGAAGGCATTGAAGCTGATTAAGCTATACAAATCCGTTGGCATCGAAAAGGAGCGAATCCTAATCAAATTGGCATCCACCTGGGAGGGAATCAAGGCGGCAGAGATTTTGGAGAACGAGCACGGTGTGCACTGCAACCTTACCCTTCTCTTCTCCTTCGCGCAGGCAGTGGCATGCGCAGAGGCTGGCGTCACCCTTATCTCCCCCTTTGTGGGCAGGATACTGGATTGGTATGTGGCTAACACGGAAAACAAGAAATTCGAGCCTCTCAAG